GGCTGGAGCCACTGGCTCCATCTCGCCCAGCCTGTGATGCTGCAGAATTCACGAGACTTATTTGTTGTGAAATGTGGAGCTCTCAGCAAAATGGCAGGTTTCAGCCCAAAAACTCCTCTCCCTGCACTGTGATGCTGTTGACACTTAATGCCTGCGTCTACAGACAGTCGCAGGGGGAAGGACCTGAAGGTGCCTGCAACTACAAGCATCAGGTATTTCCTTCAAGACATTACTGAGGAGAAAAGGAGGAGGAAGCAATAGCGACAGGACCAGTTCAGCCTGTCCTTGCCTTCCCCAAAGCTACATTTGTGCTGCCAGTTGCAGAAATGCAACCCTCGTGTGGTGGGTCAGAAGGAAGAAGTGGGGCTTGTGCTTGGGAGCCAGCGGGAAGGCACTCGTTTGGATCCCACCTGGCTTTGAAATGTCCCACAACATCATGGCAGCAGTGACTGTAAAGCCCTGGACACCCGAATAAAGCAATGGCTCTGCACAGCCAGCTCTGGAGAGACTCAAGCTAAAGGGAAGTGCAAGAAATTTGATGGCCATGTTTGACGAGGATGACATTTGGGACCTCACTGGCCATCTTCTCTCGACAGCAGCCAACACAGCAAGCCTCACTACACCCTCCTTTATTCTAACGTGCATGGTTAATGGCGTGCCTTCCTGAGGCTGATCTGCCTCTCGTTCCCTCCCCAAAGGCTACTTTCCCACCTGCAAGTCCCCTTCAAGCAACCTGGCACCGGCGCAGGAAGCACAAGCATAAATACTTTCATCAAAAGCTCTTGACAGGGCCCCGATCACATCTTCAAAAGCCAGCTAATCCCCAGACGCAGGAGAGGAGGTGGCAACCCAAGGATGCCCTGGGAGCAGCCCGAATTGTGTGTGGATCTGCGACTCAGCCGAGACCTCGCCTTGCCTCCGAGCCACTCACCTGCTTCAGGAGGAAGAGCGAGAGAACCGCGCAGAGCGTGAAGAATCCTGCCACCACCATCATGATGACCGCCACGGCCAGGTTCCCGTGCAGCTCAGACAGCGCCGCAATCCACCCGCTGCAAGAGAGGGGAGAGCGGGCTGAGCACGGCCAGCCCTCGCTTCACAGGATGAGACGGAGCAGAGGGAGAAGAGGCACCGACTGTTGCACAAGAGCTTTTCGGGGGAAGACTACAGGGAAGTGCAAAACCAAACACAACGGCTGCGGAAACAGGGACCCAGAGCTCATCCAGGCACTCGTTTCGGGGCCAGAGTTTCCATTATCATTTTTAGAAGCAATCCACCTCTACGCAGGAGGATCGTGCTCACCCCACCCATGTTACAGCCCTGGCCCCTGGACCACCCCCCTTCAGCACCAAAATCAGTACCCGCGCCACAGTCATAAACCAAAGGGCTCCCATGAGCACCTTCTCAAAATTCAGCCAAGTGGTGTAAAGATAGGCTGGATAAAAGAAAAAAAAAAAAAGTACCAAGATGCCTCACTCAAAATACCCTCCTGGGTGCTGGAGAAAGGAATCCTTCCAACTGCTAAACCAAGCGAGCCATGTGCTACCAGGAGAGAGGGAACTGAGGGAGCCAAACCGTCCCATTTGATGCGCCGCACAACTCCTTGCTCATGACAAGGAAGCGGAAAGGCACACCATGCACCACAGCCAAAAATAAACGTGCTGCCTGGCTCGAGGAAACGTGGCAGAAAGCTCAACGCAGACTAAAAACAGAGTGCCCCCTCCCAGTCCCCCATGACTAAGGCAGCACCAGCTAGCAGGGGAGGGAGCACAAGGACAGCTTTGCCCATGAGCCATTCTGCAGGCAGCAGGCAAAAATAGACAGCAGTTTCACTGCGCTCATCACCTGAAGGTTTCCCCTCAGGAAAAAAAACCACTAGCTGTTAACCTTTTCACTGTTCACAGTAACTCGGGAATCTGATCTGTGGCCAACGCAGCAAGGCGAAAGGAAAGCCTGTGCTTTCCCTGCAGGGGCAACCGCTGACAAGAGCCCTGTTGGACCCATTCCAGAAGCCCAGACTCACCCTTCTGTACAATGCCATCATGAAAGGGTGGGGGTAAAACCCTCTCTGCTTATTTTTTGAAGCAGAGCCCACCAATAACACACTCAAGAGAAATTCAGGAAGAGTTTGGGGACAGAACCAGGCTGCTAGCAGCAGTATCGAGTCAAGCTGTACCCAGACTCTGGGCCAGAGATCCCTCACCCCCACGCTACAGCCTCTACCAGGGAAGGCTCCATTCTAACACAAGGCAGAAGCTCAGCATCAAGAAGAGATAAATCTTTTATCTATTAAGTGAGGGGGAAGGCAGCAGAGGAGGTGTGGAAGATCTCACATACTCCTTTCAGCGCTGGCCCGCAGCAGCAGCAAAGGGACAGGCCTTTGCTGGG